CACACACACACACACACACACACACACACACACACACACACACACACACACACACACACACACACAGTCGCGCGCGCACACACACAATAATATACTCATACACACTCTCGCACACACACACTAATATACACATGCACAGTCGCACACACACACAGTAATATACACACACACACATGCAGTTGCACACACACACTAATATACACATGCGCAGTCGCACACACACACAGTAATATACACACACACACAGTTACACACACACACACACACACACACACAGTTGCACACACACACACACACACTAATATACACAGACAGTCGCTCACACACACTAATACACACATGCACACACTAATATACACACACGCACACACTAATACACACACACACTAATACACACACACACTAATACACACACACACACACACGCACAGTCGCACACACACTATCAACTCTACCTGTGTTTGACGGCGTGGAGAAACTGAAGCTGGTGCCGCCGGTGGAGGTAGTGGTGGAGCCAAACCCCCCGAACGCACCTGCAGCGCACAAACACACACACACACACACATGAGAGGAAGACAGGACAGACGTGGACACAGAACAGAGATGGACATGCTGAACATGCGTGATGGACAGAGCATGTTTGATCACACGACCAGAGCATCACTGACACGCTAAACACACACAAACGAATGAGCGCGTGATGTGAGCTGATCATGAGTGACATGACCTTTGACCTCTCGCACTCATCTACCTGCTCCACTGAGGCTACTGCCAAAACTGAGCACAGGGGCTACGGGGCCCAAACCGAAGCCCCCAAAACTAACAGGCGCAGTGGGGCCACCGCTGGGGGCCAGAGAGCCAAATCCTGACGAGACACACACACACACAGGCGAGGATTAGAAACACCTGCAGTGTGTTAGAGACACTGGAGACTCACTGCACACACACACTCTCTTATACACACACACACTCATACACACACACACACACACACACTCTCACTCTCATACACACACACACACACACACTCTCACTCACACACACACACACACACACACACACACACACACAGA